CTGCGTGCAGTTACGCATACGGGCGTGCGCTGGCGCGTTGCTGCGGTACCGTTGGGCATGAACTGATCGCAGGCGTGCACTGGGCAACGCTGCGGACAACGGGGCAACTTAACTTGCACCATGCGGCCTGCTGTTGCGCGACTCCGCGCGCTGACGCGCGGTACTGCATGCTGGCACGCTTGGCTGGGCGTTGCTGCCGCCATGTGCGGACAGCACGGCCTAAGGCCGACCTTTGCCGGCCGTTCGGCACTAACTCCCGACCAACTAACTTCAATTTACATTATCTGATGTATTATGAACATGATCATCAAAATTACTTGGAAAATATAACTTTCGCACCATGGACTGAATGGGGACCGTGCGGGCGCGGCGTGCGCCGCCGACGGCGTTAGGCCGTCACTCGACCATTTCTACTCTTACTTCCGCAACTCAAGAACACTTAAACATGAATCATTATTTAAGGCTGTAGCAACACGATTAACAAAACAACCTGACCAGAACTTGAACCCACACCATAACTTAATGCGGCCCGCGGTCACGCGCGATGTGCGCAGCCACCCGCTCGGCCGGACTTCCGACTAACATACTCATATATCAATAAATCCAAGTAATTGAACATGTCATCACATAATTAAGTCAAATAGGGTCTGATTGCTGAAGAATTTCTGAAACCACCTGATGACTTGATACCATTCTACCTACGAACACACACACACGGACACCCCCGGACATACACGGCCAACTGGCCCGAGACTTCAACCAAACAGAAATAATTTATCACTACCATGACTAATCAGAAGTGATCTTGTCTTACCTTCTCACAATCTTGATCGAAAGTCGCAAGAAAGACACGATTTCTTGGCCCCTCGCGTGCTTGTCCGTGTGCCGCGGTTTGCCTTGCGGTGCGGTGTTAATTGCTAAGCTTGAAGTATGGAAAGGTGTGAATAATTTGCTAATTTCTCCTACCCTCTGAACTCTGAACTTTAGTTGCTGAAGTAATATAGGGAAAATGGGGAAAAATTCGAACCAAACTCCTCTCTTTATACTTAAGCCAAATGTTGGGAAAATTATGAGGGTGACGCGGTGAAAACGTGGCCTTTTTGGCTCTTAACATTTGGTTGCAATTTAGCTAGTTGGGGATGACTAAGCATGCTCTAATCTTGCCACGTTTCATGATCAAATGTGAGGAGGAAATATTTTCCCAACTTAGAAGAAAGCTTGCAGAAGTGGGAAAATTTGGAATAATAAATCATGGCTTATGGACTTAATTCTCACGGCTTGGACATAACATTGCGATAAGTTGCTTAATCAATCACTAAAATATGTTTAATTATTCAATTAAACATAATTCTTAATTACCAAAATTATTCCGGACGTAAACGGTACGTCGAAAATAATTTTCGGTAATCTCGACTGAAAGTAATTAATTCCGAAAATAATAATTGACAACGTTATTATATCGGAACTAAAAACATAATTTATACCGATAAAATATCGGGATATTACAACAGGGTCGATGGAGAATGGCTAAGGAGCGAATGGCGCGCATCGGCCCATGATGCGCGCGGTTGGGTGGAGCAGGTTACGCGCGGGTCACTGGGCAAGCGCAACGGGGGCGCGGGGGTGTTGAGCGTGGGCTTCAACCGCGAGGGTGGTTGGGACGCGTGGACGCCAGGCAGCAAAGACGCGGAGCGTGCGGGGCGCTCCAGTGAGGGTGACGCGGGCGGAAGCCGAGACCGCGAAGGCGTAGGAGTAGCGAGCACGCAGGGCCACGCGCGCGAGGAAGGCGGCATCGTCGGGACGCGCGCCATGGCGCGTGAGTGTAGTGAAGGCGCGAGCAGCCTAAGCCGTGTAGGCTTAGAAAAGGTGGGCACGCACGCGCGGGGGGAAGGCACTGCAGGCTTGGGGCACACGAAGGCGTGCGCGTACGACACGGGCGAAGCGCGCGAGTTCGCGTTCGAGGAGGAATAGAATCGATGTGCGGCGCGCGCTAGAGCGCATTGATGAAGATCGTGTGCTTCGATTGCCGATAAGCCAAATACCAGTGCCTTGATCGGCTGATAGTTGCCTAGAGGTTCACAAACCGAACCACTCTAAACGAGAATAATTGCAATAGAATTTTGGTGAAAAACTTAAGAAAAGAGAGAATGAACAAAAGTTCGGATTTTTATTGATAAACTAAATGATGAAAAATAACATGGGGAAGGGGCATTTGTATAGGCACAAAATATATCTAGTCCTCATCTACCTAGGGAACTAATAAAGCAATAAAATATTAGAAATCCTAAACAAGCTAGAAATCATAAAGCTAGATGGAAACTAAATCACTTGGTGTGCACTCCAAGTAACTCTCTCTCTCTTTCTCTCACACGACGGCCGCCTCACTTAGCACCGCCCGCGCGCCCCTCGCTTGCCGCGCATGCCTGCGATCGGGCGCCGCCTTCGCGCACGTCCCCACATGCCCGCCCCAAGTTGCTGCACTCCTCGAGGATTGGGGTTTTGCGTCCCGCGCGTGCGCCTTCATCCGGTGTGTTGCGCACGACATCGCTACCAGCCGCCTTCTCGCACGCGTGTGCCCTGCCTGCTTTGCTGCATGCCTCGAGGCATAAGGCCACAAGCCCCGCGTGCAATTCTCGGCTTCGCGCATCTCTCGCGCCCGCGCTCGCGTGTAGCGCGTCCATTGCTTGGCCACTTTCGCGCCCCATGCGCGTATCTTGCTCCAGGACGTGCATCTTTCCTGTGGCCTGTGCCATTCTCTTGCGTGCGTGATAGGCGCGACTTGTAGCGTTCTTGAGCTGCCTAGCCACTTCCGTATCATTCACGTCCCCTTCAAGCGCTTCCTTGTCCTCAAGGATAAAATTCGGGAACTGATCACGTATCTCATCCAAATCCTCCCATGTGGCTTCATTCTGTGGCAACTCTTCCCACTCGATTAGCACCTCCCAGCGGTAACGCCCAGCTTTCCTGACCTTGCGGTACTCCATTGCACGTTTTGGTCGTACTATGACCCTTCCATCAGTTGCGGTCGCTGGTAACTCCTCGCACCACTTGTGCGCCTCTCCTAGACTTCTCTTTATCTACGAGACATGTATGACCGGATGAATCAGCAAACTCTCGGGCAGCTCTAGACGATAGCTACCTGACCAATGTGCTTCAAAATCTGATAAGGCCCATAGTATCGCACTCCTAGTTTAGTTGCTGCCCTTTGTGCTGTCGTGCGCTGTCTGAACGGTCGCAGCTTCAAGTAGACATACTCGCCTGGTTCGATTGATTGGTTCGATTGATTGATCCTTCGAGATTTTTGTTCAACTCACGCAACATCAAATCTCGCTCCTCAAGTTCTCGACTGACTTCATCGTTGACCGTGCCTCCCTCCGAGTAATTGATCAGTGTTGGCGGTTTACGCCCATATACCAGCTCGAATGGAGTTATCTTGGTCGACTCATGGTAAGTAGTATTTTACCAGTACTCAACCCAGGGCAGAAAATTTTCCCACCTCTTCGGAAATTGATGGACATAGCACAGTAGGTATTGCTCAAGGGTTCAGTTGGTTACCTCGGTTTGCCCATCGGTTTGGGGATGATATGCTGAGCTCATGGATAGCTTGGTCCCCTGCAACTTGAAGAATTTGGACCAAAAGCTGCTCATAAAGATCCTATCTCGGTCGAAAACTATAGATCGTGGAGCTCCGTGTAACTTCATCACATATTCGACAAATAACCTGGCGATAGACTTGGCTGTGTAGGGATGGGTGATGGGTATGAAGTGTGCATACTTGGTAAGTCGATCCATTACGACCATTACTCTGTAATACCCATTATAACTTGCAACCCTTCAATGAAATCCATGGTGATGTCTTCCCAAATCGCCTCGGGTACTAGTAGCGGTTGCAGCAGCCCGCTCGGTCAGCGTGAATCAGCCTTAGTACGCTGACAGTCATCGCATCGTGCGATGTAATCCCGAACTGTGCTCTGCTGCCCTGGCCAAAGGAAGGTATTGGCTATCCTCATCCATGTGCGGTAGATACCCGAGTGACCTCGAACTTTAGAATCGTGGAAATACTGCATGATTCTCTCGCGTAACTGCCCACCGTCAGGGACGAATACTCGGCCTCGATGTAGCAGTAGGCCATTGTGCAGCTCATAATCAGCAGTGTTTTCTCCTGCTTCGATCTTCCGTTACACTTCTTGGCAATAAGTATCCTCTTCTTGCGCTTTTTGAACTTCCTCCCAGATGGTCCACGTCGGCCTGGTGATAGCATTAAGCTCAGTTACATCTGTCCGTCGAGACAATGCGTCAGCCACAGCATTCTGTCGACCTGGCCGGTAGACTATCTCAAAGTCGAACCCCATAAGTTTCGAGAGAAACTTCTGTTGCTCAGAGGTAACAATCCTTTGCTCGAGTAGATGCTTGAGTGGCTGTTGGTCAGTCACAATCCGAAATCGACGCCCTAATAGGTAAGGCCTCTAGCATCTTACAGCCTCGACAACCGCTAGCATCTCCTTCACGTACACAGATAATCCCAACCGAGTCGTGCCTAGTGCCTTGCTGAGATAGGCTAAGGGCCATCCTTCCTGCACTAGCACAGCTCCAATTCCAATATCACTCGCATCTGTGTGTACCTCGAACAAGACATCAAACCTTTGCATGGCGAGCACCGACGTCGTAGTCATGGCGCCCTTCAGTTTCTCAAATGCCTCCTCGCTAGCCTTGGTCCATGCAAACCCTGCTTTCTTGGTCATCTCCGTAAGTGGTTTGGCGATGGTCCCTTAATCCTTTACAAACTTCTTATAGTAACCCGTGAGCCCTAGGAATTCTTGGAGCTGTGTGAGACTCGTTGGCTTAGGCCAGTCGACCATAGCCTCTATCTTCCGTGGATCAACCTTCAGGCCATCGTAGGATATAAAGTGACCTAGGTACTCAACCATATCCTGCCCGAATGAACACTTGGAGGGCTTGATGTGAAATGAGTTAGCCTCCAAGACTTCGAGCACTACTCTTAAATGCTCCATATGTTCAGCCCATGACTTCGAATAAACCAAGATATCATCAAAGAAGACTAGAAAAACTTACATAGATACACCTTGAAAATGGAATTCATAGCAAATTGGAAAGTAGATGGAGCATTGCACAGCCCGAATGGCATCACCAAATACTCATAATGCCCCTGATGTCTACGAAAAGCTGTCTTTGGAATGTCGGTCTTGTGGAGTCGGATCTGATGATAACTAGCTCTCAGGTCGAGCTTCAAAAAATAGCGTGATCCTGCCAACTCATCGAGCATGTCGTCGACACTAGGAATAGGAAATTGATCCTTGATAGTAGCCGCATTCAGAGCTCGATTGTCGGTACAAAACCTCCAAGTACCATCCTTCTTCTTAGCTAATAATACTGGTGATGAAAATGGACTCGAGCTATGCTGAATTAACCCAAACTCTAACATCTCAGCTACTTGCCTTTCGATCTCCATTTTCTGAAAGTGAGCGTACCTATAAGGGTGAACGTGTACAACATGCTGCTCATTGACTAGCGGTATGCGATGATCGAACTCTCGGTGGGGTGGTAGTCCCTTAGGCTCGCCCAGTACTCCTTCAAACTCCTCGAGAAGCTCGCGCACGTCTCATTGCTGCTGCTTGGTCTCAAAGATGTGCGCCCCAGTGTTCTCGACGACTACTGCAAAAATTTGGCCGCCACCTCGCTATACTCTTTCAATGCTCTTCAGCCCAACTTCCTTGGTAACCTTCTCTCCTCCAGCCTTGAGAGTGACTCTCTTCCCTCCCGATTTGAACTCCATAACTCCGGTGCGATAGTCCGTGGTCACTCTTCCCAACCCTTCTAGCCATTGCACTCCTAGAACCATGTCCGGTCCAACCAAGGGTAAGGCATAGAGATCGACCTCCACAACAACCCCTTGGAACCTGATTGGTACCTTACGAAAGGACTCGGTGCATTGAAGTCTCTCACCGTTGGCTACTCGAACTTCAAAGGGCTCAATCTTTGTGGTTGACAGATTCAGCTTCTGGGACAATTTGGCATTGATGAAGTTGTGTGATGACCCGTTGTCTACGAGTACGATCACTCGTCGGTCCTTAACCCAAGCTGGTAGACACATGGTCCTTGGCCCTCTGATTCCAGCCATTGTGTGCATCGAGATCTGATCCTCCTCATCGAATGCTTCAATGTCGTCCACTGGCTCCAGCTCTTCCTCGACTTCAGCTTCTTCATCGTCGGAGTTGGCGACCTCTATAACTAAGGCTTGCTTGCAACGATGCCCTGGCATAAATTTTTCCTCGCACTTGAAACAAAGACCTTTATCGCGTCGACGTTTGATCTCCTCGGGTATGAGTTGCTTGACTACAAGCCCCGGTGGTCGAGTGTTGTTGGCCGGTCATGGGCCTGCGGTCAAGCGGGTGTCTGCTCGTCCCCTTCGCGTTGCCGCTAGGTGATCCTCGCGTCGTCGGGCAACCTTGATGAAGGATCGTGTGTTTTGTTCCACTCGCTTGCCTCAAACACAGCCTCGCCACGACTTGCTCTCGACGGATAGGTGTGATCGACTCGGTTATTAGCCTAACTCTCAAACGATACTTGAGTTCACTCGGTAATTAGCCTCGCTCCCTCGATTTTGAATTGGCTCGGATCTTAGCCTCACCAATTCGATTGCATGATCGAACTCTCACGAATCCTAACACACGGTTCGAACAAACGTTCTTTTCTATTCACTCATCAATTCCAAGTCATTAAAAACAATAAGGGGAGACCCCTATTTATAGATCCTAACTATGACTAAGCCTAATCTTACTAGGGAATATTATTAAAAGCAATAAAATCCTACCATATCTAGATCTACTAATACAAGAAGGTAATAGAATCCTAATTAATCTACTAGTCTTGATCACCAAGTCTTTTGCTTTCCTTGCACTCCAAGTTCGTCCGACCCTAAGCCCAACCGCCCTTGTTGCGCGCACCACCATGGGCTCCTACTCCTTGGCGCGTGAGGTAACCCGCGCCTTGCTCCGCACGCATGCGCCGCCTCTGCCTTGCCTAGTCCCGCGCGGACTAGGCTTCGTTCGTCCGCTCCGCACGCGCCCTACGGTCTCGCGCGCCCAGCATCCACCGCCTTCCTCCCGCGCTTGTGCACCCGCCTCTCCTATGCCCGCGCGACTTAGGACATCTGTGCTTGCATCGCACTCGCGCGCTAGTGCGCGCGCTTCCTGCCGCCCGATCTCCTTGCGCGGGTGTTGCCGCGCGCCCGGCTTTCCTATGCGGGCAAGGACTCCACCCGTGTGCATGTCACCCGCACTTCCATTGCGCCCCGCGTCTCCGCTGTCCAACGCCAGCGCGTCCTAGCCACCTTCGCGCACGCTGTGCACGTCCATCGCCCATGCGCGCCTTTTGCTTATTCGCCCATCGGCCATGCACGACCATCCTTCGGCTTCGATGACCGCTTCCGTATCATTCCCCTCCTCTTCAAGACTTTTCTTGTCCTCAAAGATTAGAAAATTTAGCACATCAACATCACTATCGTCCTCTTCAATAGGCAAATCACCTTGATCCTCCGTTCTCAACTTAATGCGCTTTGATCCTCCGTTCCTCACCTATAGTCGGTCGTAATGGGCCCAAGTGTTTCGATCCACTGTACTCACAACACGATATCAGTTGCCTTAAGCGGTAAGGCGTAGAGGTTAATCTCCAATTCCTGATCCTGAGTCATAATCGGAACCTTCTTGAATAATTGACTACCTTGCAGCTCATGCCCATTGGCCACCTTGACCCCAAACCTCTTGACCTTTCTGGGTTCCAACTTCAATCTCTGGCTATTCCCTCGTCGATAAAATTTAAACTCGACCCACTATCCACCAGTACCTCTAGCAGCATATCTTTTATCTCAGCCGTGAAACTGATCATCTTAGGACCACGCTTTTTGCACTTAACCACATGTAACAAGGACTCCTCATGTGGCTTTTCTTCTTCACAATCCTCCTCAAATTCCAACAGAAAGACTTCCTTACCTTTGCACTTGTGGCCTGGCGTAAATTTCTCATTGCATGTATAGCATAGGCCCTTTTCTCTTCGCCGCTGCATCTCCTCGTCCGAAAGTCACCGTACGCTGCTCGTGGTACGCGTGACCTCGCCGACTATTGGTTTCGTTTTGGCCCGTGGGGTTGGATCGTCAACCGCGACGCTCGCGCGCCGAACGTCTGTGCGCCCCTCGCTCGGCCTTGCCTTGCGCACTGCTGCGAGATGATCCTCGTGCAGTCGCGCTGCTTCCATGGCGGCTCTTGTCGATCTTGGTCTGTACAGTCGCACCTCCGCAGCTAAATCAGCCTTCAAACCTCCAACAAATGCACCAACAAGTGCACTCTCGGGCCAATCACGTACCCGGCTTGCAATCCTTTCAAACTCCTTTTGATAGTCACGTAGACTACTAGTTTGGCGAATCCTTGTCAGAGCCTCATCGTAATCGCAATAATCACTAGATCCAAACCTGGTGATGAGCTCCTTCTCGAAGTCTCTCCATCTGATTTGCTCGCCCTTGTTCCTGTAAACATGCGACACCCATTTTCACCATGTGTTGGCTTCACCATCTAAGTAGTAGGCAGCAATTTGGACTCTTTCAGACTTCTGTACCTCATTGAACTCAAAAAATTGCATGGCATGACTTAACCATGCATCCGGATCTGTCCCTTTGAACGTCGGCATCGTTATCTTCAGCCTCGCATGTGCATGCTCCTCGCGTTGATGCCGATGGTCGTGCATCCTGCGATCGCCATGGT